ACCTGGTCTAGTGGAAGGTGTCCCTGCTGCTGGCAGGGGGGCTGGGACTGGATGAGCTTTAAGGTCCCTCCCAACCCAAACCAGTCTGGGATTCTATGATTCCTCCTGCATTTGGCACAGGAGTCCACATGGGTGTGTGGTGACCAGCACACCCTGCTCAGGGCAGCGAGTGTGGGGACACCTCCAGCTTCCTGCAGAATGGCCCAGGGCTGCATGTGGTGCTCAGGAGGGTCCTTTCTACTCCAGATCCCCTGGGATGAGACAGGTCTGGCAGGACGCGGGTTATCGGCTCCTGGCAGAGCTGGTGGGATGACAAGGGATCATAGGGTTTACAGGACGGCGGCTCATGGCAGCCGGTGTTTGCTGTGTAAATCCCTCGAGGGCTGACCAGGGGAACAATCCCTGCTTTGGAGCTGGGCAGTGGATTCTGGAGCTCACCCTTTCTTGATCTGGCACACACCGAGCGCCCACGTCCTCGAGCAGCAGCAGCGTCTCAGGGCACTGGACTTGCACCAGTGGCCGAGCCGGTGCCAGCAGCCCCGTGGTGAATTGGCCGGCACGAGTCTGGGTGGCCACACAGGAGCCGGGGGAGGTGGCCAACGTGCTCCTCGCCCACTCCAGCACCCCTGTGTGAATCACCCACCACAAGCCACAGGTAAATCTCTGTCCTTCATTTCCAAACGTAACTGCCCACGGTCTCTCTCTGTCGTATGCTCTGGGCTCCATCCTCTTCCTAACAGGACTCTGGCACTGGGTTTAGTACAAGCACTTGCTTTATTAAATAACTTTGGGAGGCTGTGACTTCAGTAACAGGAAATAAATAGCTATCAACCTTGCATTCAATTAAAAACTGTTATTAACACTAACATATTCTGAGGAAGTGCTGCAAAGGTTCTTCACATTTCAGAGTTTGTCATTTTTCACCTTAATGAAGTGGTCCACAGTGTGTTCTGATTAAAAATTAAAATAATTACAAAAAACCTAGAGCATTTTAAATACCATCAGTCCTGTTGCGAGGTTGTGTGAGGAGAGGAAAAACGCAGTGTCACCCGTGTCACCCACCGCACGTGTCTGGGTGAGCTGCCACCTTGGGTCCCAGCCACACAGCAGAGCCCCAGGCAGCAAGGATGACACGTGCAATGTCACACCCGACTTTCTTCCTCTTCCACTGCCCGGTGCAGGCCCGGAATGAATTTGAACAGATGCTTTCGGATGCTGGATCTCCTGCTTTTCCGTGGGAGGGTCCCAAAACTACTGGTGCAGCTGCTTCCCTCCCAGAGCGGGGACATGGACCCGCTGCTGGCCAGGCTGATGCTGCGGTTCCTCCGCAGGGAAGACCTCCCGGCAGCACCATCCCCATCCCTAGGGAAGAAGCAGTCATCGTCCACACTGGACTGGCGGCTCAGGCTCTCTGCAGCCGAGTCCTCGAAGGCTCCGCTCTGGTAGAAGCTGTCTTCACTGTCCACAGTCATGGAGCTCAGCCGGCTGCGCGAGCTGCTCTCACTGGAGAAGCGAGGCTTCCCCAGGAGAGATCCCGGCGTGCTGCAGCCGCCCGGCCAGCCGGCCTCTTCCAGCTCCAGCACACCCGGCAGAGCGTTGTCCGTCACCTCCCCTGGGAGCAGAAGCCCAGGAGGAGAGTAAGTGATGGCTCATGGCCACAGCGGCACAGGGGAACGTCACACCCAGCATCTCCCCATGAGGATCAGCCCCTTTCCCACATGGGAAGCTGTTTCCAGGCTGTGGGGGACCCGCTACCCCTGCCTTCCCCCCACACACAGAACCAAACCTGCTCCCTGGGCAACCCGTAAAAAACCAACCAAACTTGTCAGTCCCAAATAAGAATGGAAAAAACTTTGTGCCCCACATCAGCTCCTTTCCTAGAGCTCCGGCAAAAGCCTTTGGGCTTCGTTAGTCAAGCAGCACCCAGAGTCACTAGTACCGGGAAAAAACCTTTCCCAGGGGCCAGCGCAGGGGGAAAGGAAAGCAGCTGAAAATCAGATTAAAGAACTGCTTTTTCACAGATCAGGCAGCGTTTCTGCAGAGCACTCGGCAGCGTTGCGGTTTCCTACCCGGAAAGGAGGACGTACCGTGCAGCAAGCGCTGTTCCTGTGAGAGCAGAGCGCCCAGCTCCACCCATTTCTGCTGCAGGGTTTGCTGTGGAGGAGAAAGAGCCATCGTCACCCACACGCTTCCACTGAAACATCACACACTTGTGAAGGAAACAGCAAACCAGCAAGTACAGGTCACCTGCAGGAAGCACTTGTACGTCCCTCTCTTTACTGTGATGATTTTCCCGGGGTTTAGCAAAGTTCTCCCAGAAAGCAGAACCCTGCTCATGCCCTGGCTGCTTCAGCTGGGGTACGGGACAGGCGTGACTGGGAAAGCAGAAGCCTGGCACCAGCAGAGCAGTAGCCTTCACCCCACAGCACAGACACCCGCTCTGCTCAGCAGCCCATGGGCTGTCCTCCTCTTGTCCTCCACACCTCTGGAGTCCCCATCCAGGGACAGGTACCCCCTCCTCACAGCATCCCAGAATCTCCTGATTGGGAAAGACCTTTAAGCTCATCAAGTCCAACCATGAACCCAACACTGACCAGTCCCCTATGACTAACCCATGTCCCTCAGCACTGTGTCTACACGACTCTTCAATCCCTCCAGGGATGGGGACTCCACCACTGCCCTGGGCAACCCCTTCCAATGCCTCAGAACCCTTTCAGCAAAGAAATTCTTCCTCACATCCCATCTCAACTGCCCTGGCCACAACTGGAGCCCATTTCCTCTTGTCCTGTCCCTTGGTCCTTGGTTGAACAGACCCCCCCCCACCTCTCTCCACCCTCCTCCCAGGGACTTGGACAGAGCCAGAAGGTCTCCCCTCAGCCTCCTTTTCTCCAGGTACAACACCCCCAGTTCCCTCAGCCGGGAACTCAGCACACTTGTGCTCCAGACACTTCCCCGGCTCCGTTGCCCTTCTCTGGACACGGTCCATTTCTAAGGGACCAGACTGACTCACTTGCCATGGAGCAGTGACCATGGCTGGGATGGAAACATCCTGCTGTTGCGTTCCCATTAGGACAGTGAGGAACTCTCTGGCTCTGGCTCAGTTCTCACCATGTCTGGACCAGCCATCTCAATGGCCAGTCTCAGCATCCCCAGCCACCACCCTGCCTCCTGCCAGCCTCGAGCACCAGGGACACAGTCACACAGCTCCACACAACACCTGGGCTGGCACCAGTCTCCCAACACCTCCACCCCACTGGACCATGCTGGCACGCAGGGGTTTGTGCCAGCGCTCTGGGCTCAGCTCTCCCACCACTTCAACCACAGCCCACAGGTTAGTTTTGTTGCCTTCAGAGAGGAGATGACAGCTGTGGGGCAGCAATGCCTGGGGCAGCCCCCCCAACTATTCCCAAAAGTGACCTCCACAGCCCTCGTCAGCTTAAAGAGCCTTGGAGGGGAAGCAGAGCTCATGGGGGGTCTCGCCCTGGTCTCCTCACCCCTGCCCATCTTCTGGGCTGTAGAGATGGTGACAAAGACACTGTCCACGGCCCCCAGCCAAAGAGCAGGGACCCCTCCCTTCCTCACCCTCCAGCCCCCACGGCTGCTGGTCCCATCACCTGCAGCATCATGCTGCAAATCACAACACCCCGGGCTGTGCTCTGGTAAACGCAGCACAGACCAGAGTCAATAAACAGTGTTTTAAATGAGGGAAATACTAAAGTGGCATCACCCCCATGGCAGGACTCACATTCTATAGACAGTGGCACACGTGGCAAAGCCTGTCCCTGCCGCTCAGCCCTGGCACCCATTTGGCATGAGGTGGGTTCTAGCCAGACTAATTTTTAATGCACTTTGTAAAGTGCTGTACTCCTGCGAGGAGGGTTTCTGCGTACAGTTGCCACACGGAAGAACCCCTCGCTCAGGTTGAAGGTCCAGCGTTAGGAAGCCCCCCTGTGGCTCTAAAGGGGTGAGCAGAGAGGAACCCCGGGGGGCAGGAACCCAAAAACCGGCTCCCAGCCCAGCTGCCTCGCGCTCGGCGGGGGGAGCAGAAGTTCCCCGGCTCAGAGGTGCCGTCCCTAAGGAGCCTGAGCTCGGCTGCGGAGCCTGCCTGCCCTTCAGGCTAAGCACAGAGTCCTTTAAAACAAGCTGCTGTGTTCTTCCAGGGCAGGATCATCCCCCAGCCGGGCACTGCCGGGACACAGCCAGCCACGGAAGGTTTTAGAGTTACAGAAATTATGGTGGGGGAAATATTGCAAAAACAGTATCGGGAAAATATAACAAAAGCAGTACAGAGCAAATGTGAGAGGGACAGTGGCTGGGGGTGCTGGCCGCGGGGGACACACGGGTGTCTGCCCTGCTGCTGGGACACCCAGGGACACCCAGCCCCAGGGACACCCACCCATCAGCAGCTCCACAGCAGCCCTCGACACGGGATTAACTAATTAATTCCCTCACCTTCAGTGCGTGCAGCTTGGTCTCCAGCTCCATTTTCCGCAGAAACATGGCCCCATTGACAGTCTCTAACCTGTGAAGAACAAGGGATGTTGGCACCGAAGCAGAGAGGGGCACAAGACACTTTCTTGGCTTCCAAGAAAGCTGAAAACCACGTGAAGGAGGGACGCCCACCTTAAATAGTTCCCTGAAGACTTTATCAACTCCACTACCTGCTTGTGAGTAAAACCATCAGTGTTCACGCCATTGATACTGGCAAGGATGTCGCCTGTTAGAGGTGCACAGAGGAGAAAGTGAGTGTCTGCAGCTCACACACCCCTTCCACAGGCTCCACAGTAACCCAGAGACCCAGAGAAAAGCAACATCAGGCCACCCAGAGCAGGAGAAAACCACAAGCAGTTACCCATTTGAAGGCCAGAAAGATGGGCAGGACTTTCTTCTTGGATTTTGCAGATGCAAGTGCACACCTCCAGGGAGTCGTCATTTTGGTGTGGAAATCGAATAGTCTGTAAATACCAAAAATCTCTGTCACTGATATTAAAGCCAGGAAAACAATTTAAAGATTAATAGTCTTTTTACACGTTTCTGAAACGAGAAGGCTGTGATGAGCAGGGTCTGTTATCACACAAGTGAGAACATCGAAACGTTATGACCTCACAACCAGGTATTGCATTCTTACAGGAGAGGTCAGCAGACACCTGCCTGGACACTGTTTTCACAAAAATTAGTTTTAAAGCAAGTTGGTTACTCGTTATCAAAAACTCAGTCACTTCAGTCAGAATATCTGTTAGCAACATGCTCCCTAAAAGGTGCTTTTTATTCTTGACTCGCACATTTAAATAGGCACTGAGTAATTCTAGGTATAAATCCATCATGTGGTTGTCAGTGCTGACACATATTTAGAAGAATGCAAGAGGAGGCGACGCAGCCCCACCAGGTCTTGCTGCAGTGACAGGAAATGTCTTCTTGCTTACATGCAAATATCAGTACCTAGCCACATCTTCCTACCAGAATTTAAGATTGAACCTGAACTTCCTAAAACCTACGACAGCCACAACTAACCCAGATCCAAGAAGTCCTGTTAGACTCCCAGGTTTCTCAGTCAGCGCGGAACAAATAGGGGTGAAGACAGGGTGAGGTTGGAGCTTATGTGGCCACATCACACCAGCGCTGGGATTTCAGCAGACAGCAGACCAACAGGCAAACTTTTGGCTGATCTAAGAGTGCCAAGTGAAACAGGAGAGTCTCGGAGGACATGCCGCTGCAGGTCACACTCACCTTTTTTTATTGACCTATTTCAGAGTGGTAGGTCTCACCTGCCAACCCGAAAAACTGGGCCAGCTTGAGCAACATGAGCTGCACACGCAGGATGGGATTCATCACACCTCACTGGGACCATCTGGACAGAGGTGTCTCAATGTCCCCACCGGAGCCACCGGGACATCTCCAGGGCATGACTGATGGCCCCAAGAGAAGCACTCCAACCGTGAGGGTGGACTTCCCTCTCATGTACCTTCTTCACTTCCTCATGGGCTGCAGAAGATGGCTGGGACATGGTTTTGGAGGGGACACCCAGCTTCTAGGTGAGGGGAGAGACGTTCTGCCAGAGCATCTGCTCTGCAAACATCTCAGCAGGTTGAGCTGCGCGGTGTCCACCTGGCCCCCAGGCTCTGCCCCAGCAGCAGGAAGGAGGAGAAGAAGCGGTAACATGCCAGAAGCTCTGGCCTTTGGCCATCACTGCAGTTCTCATGAGCTCCCTGCAGATGGTAGACCTGGAGTTTCACATCATCTTACTCTGGTTTGCCTAAATTTAACTTGCTGTGATGACATTACGGCTTCTAAATAACAGCTTATCCCTAGTACCAGACAGGGGCTGCCTTTCCATAGCCCAGACTTCCCGGTGGAGTGCTCACACTGAATGTATGTTCAGGAAGAAAATACGCCAAGAACAATTGTTTTCAATCAGAATGTCACATATAATGAAAATCTGCCCTCACAATTTATATAAAAGCCCATTAATTGTCTCAATTTTCCTCCTGAAAGCTCTCCACTGTTCACGAGCCCAACACTCACCCACTCATTAGTCAGAGAACCAAATCTGAGAGAGCTCAGCTTTTCCTGGCACACTGCTGTCACTGACAGTGCTGGTTTCCCTCTGTGCAGAGACAGGCAAGTGCTTCGGAGACACCCTGTCACCGCAGGAAATGAGCAGAGAGGCGAGCGGGAGGGTCCCGCGGGCTCACGAAGCAGCTCTGCGCTATTGCCACAGCCCGCTGCCCCCAGAACACCGTCTCCTCTTCCTGGGGTTGTTTTTTATTCATAACTGGGATTTCAGCAGCCCTCCTGATCCAGGAGTTACCCTTCTTAGAAAACCTACAGAGCAAAAACCTCCCTCCCGCTGGCAGTACTCCTCATCAGATTCTGGTGCTCCTGGGTGATGATTTACTGACTTTTACATCTAACAGAATTTCTTCCTGTTTGATTTAGCCCCCAAAAAGTCATACTTAGCAGTTATTTATTAAAAGGCATACCAATGCTGTATATCTACTTCAAAAATACCCAGTCTCTATATACATTAAAGAAGGTAGTAAAATGCTAGTATAAGGTGGTTTTTGGATAGAGTTTTTTTGATCTCTCTCTTTTTAGATGAAAATATTCTCACATACAATTCTCCCAAAAAATATTCACTTGAGTGGGTAAGAAGGCATTGTTGTTGCTTCACATCTGGATTTGGCTGAAATTTCTCCTGCATTCATCCCTCTGACTTGTGAGAAGGCCAGAAATTCTCATCTGTGACCTTTGCTATGAAAAATCCTTGGAAATGCCTCTTATCTCTGTATCATTACTGTCAGCACTCCAGATTTCATGAGTGACTGTCAGATCTTTCTTTGCTTTATGCTGTCTTAACCCAATTTCAGGGATGAGACATTTAAGAGATTGCACCATATTTTATTTCTGGGGTTAAATGAATTAAATTAATCGACTTGTCATTTAAGTCTTACCTGGATTTCAAACCCAAACATCTCTTTATCTTCTTTTAATATCGCGACGAGGTGTCTGCAAGAAGAGCACAGGGAATTCCAGATGAATGCTGGGGTGCCAGGCTGCGTGCACTCTGCATTTCTAACCCAAACCATCGTGTCCCTGCGCTGGCAGGGTGTCAGCACACTGTCCCTCAGACACACACTGCCCACGCTTGCGCTGTCCTGGGTCAATTTAAATGTCACCATTCCCCCTGCATGTCCCACTCTCTGCCCTGCATTCTTGTCCCACCAGGGCTGCTAAACGGGACGATCCCCAGGACACACGTTGGTGCTGGGTAAGCCAATCACCGTGATCATGGAAGGATGTCTTCTTACCTTTGTGGCCTGGAGAAGTCACCCAAGGAGCTGGATCTGGTTAAGGCAAGCTGCAACCAGAAATCGGAGTGGAAAAGGGTCAGTAGGATCACGGTTCTTTGAGGTAAGTGGCTAAAAGCAGCAGTTTAGAGAAGAACTAAAACATTGAACGGGCATTGCTGCAAGATGAAGCATCAACTGCAACACATCCTGGTGTGAAGCACGGCAGCCACCTGCAAGAGGGGGTTCCTGAAGGAATTAATGTTTAATTTTATTATGTTGGAAATTAAGCCCTGGAAAGCTGCCAATATATCAGCTCTTTCATTTTTCCAAACCTTTTAAATATAAAATTGAGTTTTCCAAAATAAAAAAACTCATGGGTACCCTTAGCATATCATAATATTGTTTCAATGGTTCACCTCCAGAAAACGTCTGGGCATCCTCACTGGGAGATGGTAACACAGCAGCTGTTCCAACTTTATTTGAAAAAAAATTACCCACTCTCTATCCAGTCTTTCCTGTGATGAGTTAAAATTGAGAGCTGAGCTGCCAGCAGTCAACAGAAAATAAAGCAATGCAAGGCTTTTTTTTTTGCACAGGGGTGATAATCTGGGATCTTCACAATTAGCTTCCAGAAACTCACAAGAACCTACGTCAGAGGGAGAGCAAGATCTGGCACCAGAAGTCACTTGGCCAGAAGACCCCCGTAGCCATGCCAGGGGAACACCCTGCGGCAGGAGGGTGCTTTGCAGGGCGATAGGGGTTGCTGTGAAAAACCACGAGAATAAGCAGAAAAATTCAGGTTGTATATTCTCGACCACCTGGGCACTCTGCTGACTCATGTTCAGCCCCTGTCCACCAACACCCCCAGGTCCCTCTCTGCCCAGCAGCTCTCCCCCCACTCCTCCCCAAGCCTGGAGCGCTGCCAGGGGTTGTTGTGACCCAAGGGCAGGACCTGGCACTTGTCCTGGCTGAACCTCCTGCAGTTGGTCCTCCCTCTGCAGAGCCTCCCAACCCTCCAGCAGATCCACACTCCCACCCAGCTTGGTGTCGTCTGCAAACTGACCGAGGGTGCCCTCCATCCCCTCATCCAGATCATTGATGGAGACATTCAAGCAGGACTGACCCCAGTACCAAGCCTGGGGAACACCACTGGTGACCAGCCACCAACTGGGTTTGACTCCACTCCCCAGTATCAATATAACCACACAGCTCAGGCTGCGGCAGTACAAAGCAACACCACAGTGTGACACCTACAGAAACACCAACTGTATAAACGTGCATTTACAGGGGGGAGAAAGGAGAGGAGGGAGCAGCCCCGTGCACGGTAAGGAACCTTCACACGCCCAAGCCCCCACCAGCAGATCAACCCCTTCGCTCGCTCCTCTTGGGACCTTCCCACACTGCTGGTGGCACAGCAACTCCACGGCAGCCCCAGAA